GGGGCGGCGCACGAGGGAGGCACACTGGAGTACCAGGACAAGAACCATCAAGAAGTTGATTTCATTCATGTGGTCTTCTTGGGCCGGTGAGTAGGGCTGCAAACGAGTCGAGTTCGAGCGAGCTGGATTAGGCTCAGCTTAGATTATACTAAAATTCGAGCGAGCTCAAACTGAGTGAAGCTCAAGGTCAAGCCATAGAAACTGGCTCGTGCTCAACTTGTATCAATCTCGAGCCGATCTCGAGCTAGTTTCGATCTAAATAATAAGATGATTTTACGAATAGGCAATTTTCAAACATTATAGCCAACAACACAATATTGAAAACCACTATAAAATTTGACTTATTCTCTCTCAACTAAAGACTAGCACTTGATAAATAGGGATCAATGAGCTAGAAAGATAGAAAAATGAAGGTGCGTCTGCTCTTAAACTTCGGCTGTGAATAATAGGATATTTCACATGACTGACCACGCATCATATTGAGGCTAAATTTGTCATGCTTAATAGGCCTCCGTGTTTCCTACTAGGTAGAATTGAGAAAAATTTGGCACAAAATATATGGCAATAAATTATCCTATTTCCTTTAAATATACATCAAGATTATTTAATATGACTATATGACATCGAGCTATCGCGCTAAAATTGAGCGAGCTAGTGTTGGCTCAAGATTAACTCGTTTCTCTATCGAGCCAAATAAAGTGTTCATACTCAGCTCATTTCTTTTCGAGTCGATCTCGAGTCGAGTCAAAATACGAGTTGATCTCAAGCGGCTCACGAGCCTCGAGCTTTTCTTGCAGCCCTACTGGTGAGGGTGTAGATTCAAATCTTCTGAAGGAGGAGGCTGGCTTTTGCTTAGGGGGACTATAATAAGGCATGCAGGGAACTGTTTCAACCCCTGTTTTGGTTTCCACTGTTGTTGTGGTACTCACATGGCTTCTCTTTCTTCAATGAAATTTGGAGCGCGGGGGTGGGGGTGGGAGCTGATTTTTGAAAAAAAAATCATTTTTCTCTATTACTTAAAAAGAATGTAAGGTTCCCGATTTATCTTTCTTCTCACCATCCTTCGTCCAACCTTCCTCATATACTAATCAATCACAATAATTTACGTACCTTAACCAATTTTACTTTAGTTTACTTAGTACCAAACATCTGAATTCAATATAAGTTAAATCACAGACATAATCTAATGAACATTTATTTACACAATTGTATACTATGGGCAGGTAAATCACTTCTGATCATAATATATGGTAAATCACGTACATTATTTGATGAACATTTATTTATACAATTGCATATTACAGGCAGATAAATCACAAGCTAACATACTAAAATATTTATATACCGTTGCAATGCACGGCATTGTTCTAGTATCATTTTATAAACCGATAAGATGAAATTATGGTACTCTCAGCACCCAACGTCGAAGTGACTCAGCCGGTTAGATTAAACAACGTCGAAACCCCGCCGGTTTGTAACCGCAGTCTCGGCCCGCCGGCGCGCGGCCGGCACGCTCGAGTTTTATATACCAGGTCATCAGCTCGGCGCCAAGTGTGCATCATCACCGTCCATTCCGACAGCCGGGTCCACGATGTCGTCCACCCCAGCCAGCAGCGAGCCCCATGACGCGCCGGCCGCCGACAGCAGCGTGCCGGCGTCGAGGTCGATCGCGGAGCGGTGGAAGATGGAGGCGGCGCCGGTGCGGGCGCGGCTGCTGCTCCGGGCCTTCGCGTGGCTCTTCTCCCTGCTGGCCCTCGTCGTCATGGCCACCGACGTGCACGGCCGCGGCGGCGCCCAGGACTTCAGCACCTACCCGGAATACAAGCACGTCGTCCAGATCCATCCATCGACCCCCGTCTCATCACCCGTCGCCTGATCTGACCCCTTTCTTTCACCTGTCGCGCAGCTACTGCCTGGGCATGTCGATCATCGCGCTCCTGTACGCCACGGCGCAGCTGCTGCGCGACGCGCACAGGCTCAGCTCTGGCCGGGACCTCGTCGCCGGGCGGAAGGCGGCCGCCGTCCTCGACTTCGCCGGAGATCAGGTACCAACCCCCAGCCAGATGTCTGTCAGTCTAACCACCTATATCGCCAACCGGCTTTGACCCAACAACCTGAACGTGCTTCCTGGTCTGAAACTTAATGGTGGCAGGTGGTGGCGTACTCGTTGATTTCTGGCTTGTCCGCGGCGGCGCCGGTGACGGACTACATGCGCCAGGCCGCCGACAACCTGTTCAACGACTCGGCCGCGGCCGCCATTAGCCTCGCCTTCTTCGCCTTCTTGGCCATCGGCCTCTCTGCCCTCATCTCTGGGTACAATCTTTCCCTAGAAGCCCTTGTTTAGCAGAAGCGCACACGATTCTCCCATCCCCTGTGTATGTCACCTAGGCTAAGTACCTGTATAATTGGATCAAATGAATACTCAGAATTTTGTAAAATTGTAAATCAATTTCCACATGGCATCAATCCAAGCGAGGGAATGATCACAGTGACAGCACGGTAACCCATTTCGCATTTCAAGATAAACCTACCACTCCCCACATTCCAAAATACTTGGGAGTACAAATCTATAATGCAAACAAGGGTTAAGAGAGGTTAACGATTTACAACAGACCTGAACAAATTGGTCTCCTAAGAACATGCCTACCTTCAACAGCCTTTTGCTGCCCGGGGAGGCAAGTATACACACAGTGAGGCCAAAAAGAATGCAGAGAAGAATGGCAAAAAAACATGAACATATGGGCATTTCCCTATACTATATATACAAGAGAGAGACAAGGCTAAGAATGTTAGGACCATAAGATGGCATGGCTGTGCACCCTGTCCAAGATCTTGCTGGTTTGGCACCTTTCTGCCAAGGAAAAAACAGCAGGAGGGCAAAATAATGGGTGCTCTATGTGTCGCTCCAATTATCGTCGTCTTCGTCGTCACTTCCCACCGCCTGATCCATAACAGAAACATACGTAAGAGACAAATAACTGAAAAGATGCTGACAGCAACATTGGAGGTGAACTTTAGATGGGCAACCTGGCGTATGGCATTCGCTTTCTCTATTATTGCAGCAACTCTCAGGTTTCCACTAGAGGCTCTAGCAGGGGCTCTAATAGATGTTGGTATAGCAGAACCCACTGGTTTCAGGTCAAAGGTCTGATCAAGTGCAAACAACAAACGAGTCAGGGAGACAGTGAGAGGATATATATGGCAAAAAGAAAGATACTTCGATTTACTAACCTTGTTCCTTATTTGCTCAAGCCACAAGTTTTTATCATTGGCATTTGGCTTATCTGCGGTGGGGGCAAGTTCTCCAACCTTGTTCCTTATCTGCTCTAGCCACAAGTTTTTATCATTGGTGTTTGGCTTATCTGTGGCGGGAGCAAGTTCTGAAACCTTGCGCATCTGCGAAAAATATAAATGGGGTTAGGGTAAACACAGGAAAGATAAGCAGAGCGCACACACGAGAATGTTCAAGAGGAAGGCAGACGAGTACCGTGCTTCGATCATGAGCAGCAACAGCATCAACAAGTGGATTTCTTGGGATATTTCTCACTGAAACTGGCTTTCTGGTTAACCGATAATCTGTGACCTCGGGTTCAAATCTGCTCCCTTCCGTTGATATTCCATAATTAGGATGAAGCATCTGAGGTCCAACAGTCCATCCCATCACTGGTGGCTGCTCAGCGTGTGCATAGCCGCCTTCATCAAAGTCACCAAGATATTTACTTATATTGCTAGGCCACGACGGGTTCGGCTGAAGTATACTCTCTGTGTCCAAATTATGATCACCATGGGGATAATCTTCAGATACCATTGATTCTGCAGTATGTGACTGGCCTTCAGACAGACCACCCTTGAGGTTATCCGCATCTTGTTCCGGTAACTGACTCTCCTGGGTGCCTTCTTCTAACACTGAGCCTGATGCAGTATGTTTTGTTGTGTCTAAAGGTAATCCTCTTGTGATTGACTGGTCTTTCAGATTCTTCTCCTCATCTGATGCATTTGAACTATGCTCCTCATTGTCTGGAGTCCCTGATAATGATTCACCGTGCTGAGATTGCTGGCAACTACCATTTTTGGAAACATGCCCTGGTGTTGAAGAGCTCACTTTGTGGAAATGCACGTTACGTGCAGCATTGTGATCATCCACCGTTTTGTCATCCTCAGATGCAGCTGGATCTGTAGAACTGAGATGCTCAGGGATGTCTGAAATATCTGAACACAAGAGGTGCTGTTGACGATCTTGCTGGTTAATTACATGTGCAGTGGCCCCACTGTCATTCAGATGTTCTTCAGCCTCCGATGGTGATGAAGTGATATGCCCCTGATGCTTGATGTTCCCACAAGCCTCTGAAAATGGCCTGTCATGTTCCCCTGGCAATCCAGATTCTACCCTTTGATCACTATTGTCCACCACAGAATTCTGATACCTCTCTTTGATATCTTGAGAGGAAACTGACGCTATTGGTTCTGCCATTCTGTCAAGTGAAACCAGGCCATTATCCATATCTTGACTCGATACAGGCAAAATAGAAGTTGTACTGCTTGCAGACTCAGGCACACGGTCTTTTTTACTCAGAAGTCCCAAACGAGGCCTTCCAAGCCTCCACTGAAGAGGGGGAAGAGGGGGTAGCTTCTGAGGATCTTCACTGCACACACTTTGAAACGGTTCAGGATGTGGTGGAACAGGTAAAACCCGATCGATTTCCTTGGTACTATGCATGCCAGAAGTAAAAGCCACTGTTGATCTCTCAGCTAGCGCGCTAGAATTCAAAGAACCCGGTGCAATTCGGGAATCAGATTCAGGTGAGCAATAGGATGCATTCTCTGCTTCCACTTGGACATTGCATGACGAAGATCCATCTAGTTGACCAACCCTGTCCTCACTCATGGGGCACGGAGCAGTTTGAAAATCCAATTCAGGGGATGCACATACTTCCCACCCTTGCTCTACCTCCATATCATGTATTGATGTGGAAGCACCTGGTACATCGATCCTATCATTTACTGAAGAATATGGAGCAATTTGGGCTGCTTCCACTTGGACATTGCATGACGAAGATCCATCTAGTTGACCAACCCTGTCCTCACTCACCGGGCACGTAGCAATTTGAGAATCCAATTCTGGGGATGCGCATGCTTCCCACCCTTGCTCTACCTCCATATCATGTACTGATGTAGCAGCACCTGGTACATCAATCTTATCATTTACTGAAGAATATGGAGCAATTCGGGTATCAAATTCAGGTGAGTAATAGGGTCCATTATGTGCTTCCACTTGGACATTGCGTGATGGAGTCCCGTCTAGTCTACCAACATTGTAATCACTTAAGGGACATGGAGCAAACTGAGGATCCAATTCAGGAGACGGACAAGTTTCCCACCCTGCCTCTGTATCATTTACTGATGTAGAAGCACCTGGTCCAACAATCTTATCATTTACTGAAGAATATGGAGCAATTTGAGAATCAGGAACACCAGAGATATGATCTTCCGACTCATTTTCTATCAATGCAGAACCACTCAAAGGAGGACAATCTAGTTCGTCTATTTTCTTGTTAGGCAGAGAACATGAAGCAATTTGAGAATCAAGTTCACTTGGAGCACAAACTTCTGCCTCCTTTTCAACAACAGCATTGCTTGGAGGGCCAGCAGGTTCTTCAGTCTTCTCACAAACGTAAGATGTAGCAATCTGAGAATCATTTTCACCTGTAAACTGGTCTTCTGACTCCTCAGCTTCAAGAGCAATCCTCAGAGGAGGGACATCTAGATCGTCAACCGCCTTATCCGTTGAGGAAGATGGAACACTTTGAGAGTTAGGTCCATCTAAGACACGTGAGTCTGATTCCTGGGTTGGAATAGGTTTCCTTAAAGGAAGGACATCCAGTTCATCCAAGCCACGTGCTCCTACCAACGGTTCCACTGGCAAGTTACTCGAGTGAGCATCCAATTCACCTACCTTTTCATTTATAAAAGCATGTGGAGGAAGGTTAGCACAGGGGTCCTGCTCTTCTTTCAGTGGAACAACCTCAGGCAAGGGACGTTGTTCCTGCTCTGATTTCACTGGAATGGAAAAGATATCCAGTTCAAGATTTTTCTCATCGCCGAAAGACTCGTGAGATCTCAAGTCAGAATCCACTGCCTGTTTCTCACCATCAGGAACTTTCATGGCGGATAAGGGCACGGTTGTCTCGCCTGTTATATCCCTGGCAGATGAACATTCAGCAAGTTGAGAATCCGGCTTAGAACAAACCACTTCCTGGTCTAATTCCGCTGACAGCACAGAGACAGAACTAGGGGAATCCGATACACTGACCACACAATCATTTGCAATATCGTTAGAATCTGAGGATGGTTTATAATCAAAGCCTTTTGTGTCAGCAGTAAAATCAATCTCATGGTATTCATGGCACAAGGATCTGAAGTCCTGTTCAATCATGACTTCTGACGGTAATGGTGCTTCATCAGGTGGAGTTGCAGGTTCCCAAAGAGAATCATCAAGTGGATACAGGTTCTCTTTTGCTTGAATGTTACACTGCTGGATTAGAAGTTCTGAGAGAAAATCATCTTCCTCTTCAGAGCAACATGGTTGATAGCTCATACTGGGCAAAGGATCAGTAGAGCTCACCATGTACCCAGGATCGACGAATGGGTTTGTGCCAAAAGAATCTTGACCAGATAACTCCCTCACCAAGTCTTGATCGACATCTGATAGTTGCTCCCACACCATGTTACTGTTAGGGCTTACTGTAACATCCTTGTCCAAATCACTCTGACATGGAACTTCTTCAGCAACTAGAGTGGTTTCTTCTGGTAATTCCTCTTGACAAGAATCTTCTGGAAAATGCGATCGTGGAACATATAGAATATCATCACTGCCACCCAGTGTTCCGCCTGACGTTTCTATTTCAATAGGCTGTGGAAGATTGGCTGTCTGCAGCATACTTTCTCTAAAGATATGTCCTCTTGAATCTTCTAGTGATCCAAGGTTTTCACAGGTAGCTTCAACTGCTTCAATGTCTTCCCTGAAAGGACTGGATTGCAATGGTATATCATGACTAGAATTTGTAGGCAGAACCTCTGCTTTCTCGGTATGTTTGGCACCATCAGTATGCTCCTCTTCAGAAGGTGTCATGTCATCATTAAACCTGCCGGTAGTCGATTCTTCTACAACCTCGGCATCAACCTCTGCTTTCTCGGTATGTTTGGCCCCATCAGTATGCTCCTCTTCAGAAGGTATCATGTCATCATCCAACCTGCTGGTAGTCGATTCTTCTACAACCTCAGCATCAACCAGAACTTCACTGTGCTCCACATTTTTTACCGTTTCAATGGATTCATGGTATTCCA